TTAATCGATGTTGAAATTCTTTTTTAATATTGCCTGATTATAAAAAGGCAATAATAGGACCATCGAAAAAGAAAATAAAGTAAAAAATTTCAACGTCTTGATTATAAAAAGGCAATAAGATGACCATCAAAAAAGAAAATGAACCTAAGAATGGCGGCGTCTTGCGCTTATTTGCAAATAGTACCACTAATCAATACTTATTTGCGAATCGGTATCGGTTTTGTAGGCGTATGATATGAAATATTTTTGCTTCAACAAGTGCGATATCGATCCGAAGTATTGGGTACCGACAATTCAGCACTTAACTAGACAACAGTTTTATTTGCCGCTCTCAGTTGTCAACTCTACGGTGACGTCACGTCAAAATTACTCTCACGAATTCTGCTGCAATCGGCGCAATCTTGTATTCTATGGCGCGCATTCATAGTCAAGCAACTAACCCTGCCAGCCACGGCTCACCACTTTCCCCTGAAAATCAAACGATTTACAAACACATTCACAACTTTTTAGTCATCTCACCCACACACTTACAAATTTTTTGTTCGAACTGTCAAAAAAATGTCCCTTTGTTAGAGCTACATACCCGATAAGAATTCGTACTCTAATAAGAATGCTATGCGTTAGAGCGAGCAAGTTAGAAACATCGGAGTTTTGATGACAGTATACATATGGGGTGTTCACAGTTCGTTCCAAATTGTGTCTGGAAATGTATACGTCTACATTTTGAGACATTTTTAGCATCAAACTGTGAGCACCCCTTTCTAGCAGTCTTCTTCCTTGCGTGCATTTCTTATATGTCGCCTTTCGATTTTGTTTCTGAAAAATTGTAATTATTTAACTTAATTACCAATTCCTAATATTTCTTATTTCTTTTCCTTGATTTGTTTCTTTTCATCAGAAATTGCGCTCAAATTAAATGCAAATACAGAAAACGTGCCCAATAAATAAAAAAAATGCGATTAGTATTGCCATAATGCAACCCTGCTGCGAGGTTGCAAAATGTAGACGCGTAAAAAACATACCTTTGAGTGTGACAAAATGTAGACGGCGTCGTTTTCCAATTTTGTATGGGAAACAACAACACCACAGATTTTACGGTTAGAAAACGTCTTAAAATGTAGACGTCTACATTTTGAGACACTATTTGGAACGAACTGTGAACACCCCAATACTGTGAAGAAATGTCACTTTGCGAAAATTTTGAAGGTAAGAATACGTATTTAACAATTTTATTTAATTATCATGTAATTTCTTCTTTTAGATTGCAAAACAGCAGCGACTTAGTTACATTCTTAAGGTATGTATTGAGACTTTTTATATGTTTATAAATTTGAATTGATATTTTTGTTTGTTAACAGATTGGGATTCACCATCAGCACCTTCAACGCTTGCATCTCCAACGCCAGGAGCACAATTAGAACCTTCTGCCCTCAGCTTATTCATCGCCAGGAGCACCACCAGTACCTTCTACCCTCAGCTCCTTCGGGAAAATTTTAGTTTGGCATCCCCCGCGTACAAAAAAAAAGGTGGCTATAAGGGGGTAGGGGGAGTTCTCCTGATTGCAAATATATATACTTTTAGCCGCAGGAGGCTTATAGCTTTTAAGTTATTTGTTGTTAAAGTTTGTAAATTGAACTAACCTCTCGGCGCTATTTCACACAATAAACACTATATTTATGTAGACACTTCGGCAAAATAGTTGCATTAAAACCCCGCGCAATGAAATGTAAACATATTTTTTACATTAAATTTTTAGTAAATTAAGTAAGTTTTAATAATTATCACGCACTTATATATGTATACGTACATTGGGTAGGTTCAGAAGGCGCAGCAGTTGAGCGCAACCGTTGCTAAAAAAATCAGTGATCGTTATGCGTCTTCTGAACGGCTTGATACATTAGCTGTCAAATTCAACTCTCAAAAACATGTTGTCTCAAATGATCAGAAAAATATTACGATCATCTAACACGCAACTGTTCAGTTGATCAGAAGTATACAACAACGCGTTCAGAAGGTGCAATCGCAACAGTTACTGAGCTGTTGCACCTTCTGAACGTGCCCATTGTGAATACAGAACCGTTGATTCAACCATGGTTTCACACTGACATTAGAAGAGTGCAGCCACATCTAAGAAAATAACAATAAAAGAGAATAGTTTTTATCGTACCCATTTTCTTGCTCAGCGTTGAATTAGTAGTAAAGGAGGGTATGGGGTTAAATACCCCCAATATATAAAAAAAAAACTGACAAGCGCCGCAGGCGAAAATTTGTAATAAAAAATCGCGCGATTTTTTATTAAAAATTTTCATTATTTATGGAAGTATTGATTTTAATGGAAAAAGCGCCGCAGGCGAAAATTTTTTATAAAAAATCGCGCGATTTTTTATTAAAAATTTTCATTATTTATCGGAGTATTGATTTTTATGGAAAAAGCGCCGCAGGCGAAAATTTTTAATAAAAAATCGCGCGGTTTTTTATTAAAAATTTTCATTATTTATCGAAGTACTGATTTTTATGGAAAAAGCGCCGCGATTTTTTTTTTAAATTTTCATTATTTATCAAATTAACGATGTATGTTTTCTACATTTGTGTACTTTGAACTACAATAACACCAGTAAATATTATTTCCACCCGAAAAAAATAATACCGTTATGATCAGGAGTAAGACCCCTATCGATCCTAATATTATTATTTTTAATAAGAGCAATATATGTACGTATTGTACACTTATACTTCCTAACTATACGCACTTATTTGTGTATTTTTTTAACGTATGGTAGCATACATTTTGTGTTACTGTCAGCCATTGTTATTTCTGCTTGTTTGTGAAATGTGCAAACGTTTGTGAAGACATTTATAAACGCGTTTTACTTAATTAATTAATTAAGAATTGTATATTAAAGTGGAAATCTCAGGCCGGGGTTTTAATGCAACTATTTTGCCGAAGTGTGCTCATAAATAAAGTGTTTATTGTGTGAAATAGCGCCGAGAGGTTAGTTCAATTTACAAACTTTAACAACAAATAACTTAAAAACTAGAAGCCTGCTGCGGCTAAAAGTATATATATTTGCAATCAGGAGAACTGCCTCTATCGTTCCATAGCTACCTTAATGCGGAACTCCGGGGATGCCAAACTAAATTGCAGCCGCTTCTTCATCGCCAGGAGCACCATGGGTACCATGGGTACCTTCCGCCCTCAGCACATTCAACTACAGGAGCACCTTCAAAGTGTAGGTCCAACTTGTCAAATTTTGCAAAGTTATAAGAAAACTTAATTTTTCTGAGCGACCATAAATGATTTGCAACTCTTAATATATATCAAACGAAAGGTAGACCGATTACCTTTCTTTTGATTATAACACCGTTAAAATCGCTTTACGTTTTCATAAAAACTTTGCAAATTTGTAAACAGCTATATATAAGCAATGAAAAAGTGGTAAAATTTTGCAAAGTTGTAACGAAACTGAATTTTTGTGCACCATTACAAATGATTTGCAACTGTTAATATATATTAAAAGAAAGGTATATCGATTACCTTTCTTTTGATTATAATGTTGTTAAAATCGGTTAACTATTTTATAGAAATTTTGCAACTTTAGAAAACATTATATGTAAGAAGTGACAAAGCTGTCACATTTTGCAAAGTTCTAACAAAACTGAATTTTTGTGCACCATTACAAACGATTTGCAACTGTAAGTATATATTAAAAGAAAGGCAAATCGATTACCTTTCTTTTGATTATAATATTGTTAAAATCGGTTAACTATTTTATAGAAATTTTGCAACTTTAGAAAACATATGTAAGAAGCGACAAAGTTGCCACATTTTGCAAAGTTCTAAAAAAACTGAATTTTTGTGCACCATTACAAATGATTTGCAACTATTAATATATATTAAAAGAAAGGTAAATCGATTACCTTTCTTTTGATTATAATACTGTTAAAATCGCTTAACTATTTTATAGAAAATTTGCAACTTTTGAAAACATATATATGCAAAGGAGTAGTAGTAATAATAAGCAATTAAGCAACCACATATGTATGTAAAAATATCTTTATTATTAATGTTAATTGTAATTTTTATTCATAATATTGATTACTAACTATGTATATTAGGTTAACAATGCATTTTGAAAAATAAATTTTGCAAACTAAAAATCAAAAAAAAATGTAAGATTTTTTATTTGTTTTTAAGGTTATTTTGAATTCGCTGTGAATAGAATGCAACCCTGCGCCAGCTGAAGTGGGCAATGCTAGACGAGTGCAGCTATATGTTTTCCTTACGAAGTATCTGAATGAGTGCGACAGTGATGCAAGGATCACACGTACAGAGGGAAAGTGGTGACAATCTGCACACCGCCCATACAAATGTCACCAGTTTTGTCATCAGTTTTGAAGTGACTGAAACCCGCGGTTTCACCAGATTTTTCACCACTTTTGGCTGGCAGGGAACCGCCCTATTCCCACAACACTGACAAAATTCGTCATATGACTATTGTCACAATTACTGCGCCTAAAACACAATATAAACATTGTTTCGCCGTTGTCACTTACTCAGTAGGTCATAACAATAAAACTGACAATTGTCATACGCAGTAGTAAAGGCAATAGTCAACCGCGTTTTGTCAGTGGTGTGGGAATAGGGCGGTTAGTCGAAACTAACAAAGTTGCAACTTAAATTTAAGTATCAACTTAAAATTTACCTCTATTCATAGTCGAATTTCAGGGGTCGAATCGCGACAGACGTGAATGAGTCGGCAATCGTACGAACACGAATTACGTGATCGTTTAATCGAATGAACAATATCGGATGATAACACTCGAAGGCGAACGAATCGTTATTGTTTATTTGGTTATCGATTATTTTTCTCTTCTTCTTCCTTTTTTAAGTCACAATAGACATTGAAGTGTCAAAATAAGTGAAAAGTAAATAAAGAAAAGCGGCAAAACTAAAATGGATCCGAGCCTTTTATTTTATTTAAGCTATAGCGAAAGCGAAAATGATGTAAGAGTTGTGCGTAAGCAACTTCGGGACAGAAGCAATCCATTGGCATTATCCAACAACGCAGAGTAATTGATACATAGGAAATAAATTACCTTCTCTACTCCTATACTTGCAGATTCATCAAAAGATTTCGGTTAAGCAAGGAGGCATTCCAGTATGTTTTATCGAAAATGAAAATAAACTGCCATGACACAAAAGCCGTTCTTGCTGTTTTGCAATTGGCTGCAAGTCTCTCGCTCCTTGCAAGTGGTGGCTATCAGCACACAGTTGGTAGTGATTACCTGATAGGTATGTGCCAGAGCACGGTATCAAAATTTACGTCCAACGTCTTAAAAGAAATGGAAAGCAAATTATGTCCGGAATTTATAAAGTTCCAGCCGAACGAATCTTCGAGATCTAAGGAGTGGTTTTCGGAAAAATATAAAATACCTGGAGGTAAGAAGAGGCGTTCTAATAAAATGCGTAGTGAATCCAATGTTTTTCTTTTTAGTGGTTGGATGCGTAGACGGAACACACATTGGATTACAAAAGCCAATTAGAGACGAGCACATGTACTTCAACAGGAAAGGTTACCATAGTCTTAACGTTATGCTAGTAAGTTTCTTTTCTTTCATTTTAACATTATTAACATTATTACTAATATTAAGTTTGCCAGATTTGTGACCACACTTGCAAGATTCTTGCAATAAATTGTCAATATGGAGGTGCAGTCATGACTCTACGCATACTTCCAGTCCTGCTGCTTCCCCAAGGAACTCCTCAGCTGCAGTTAAAACCTTTTCCTGAAAAGGTCCACCACCTGTCCGTCGTTTGGAAGCCTTGTTAAAAGAAAGCTTCCTCTTTGCGTTGTATTTCTGATCAGCGAAAACCTAGATTAAAAGAAAGTTCGTTCATGTTTACTTTCATTAAAAATATCAAAACCTACTTTCTTGCACATCCTTGATTGGCGGCCGTACAACATTTAATTGTTTGGTGAGGTTTTCCCACAAACGGTTGGCCGTTGCTTTTCCCTGCAAGCAGTTTGGGAGTAAATTCTTTGCCAAGTCAGAGTGTTCGGCCATGAACTCCGCCATGAGTTCCTTCTGCGTAGAGTTTAATTTATTGTAGTTGGTCCTAATATAAAAAATAGCTATAAAGTGTATATGTTTGGACAAATTTTATAATTACTTACATTCTTCAAAAAATGTTATCAAATTTTGCGCGCGTACGTTCGTCAAATATTAATCGAATGACAGTTCGAACGAACGAGTACGTTCACTCGCTCGTTCACGCCTGTCATAATACCGAATTACGATATGAGAAGTTCGTTCACGTCTGTCAAAATCCGATTTTGTCCTTTTTACGTGACGAATTGCTCGTTCACGACTGTTACGATTCGAGCCCAGACTTCTACTAAGTAGTTTCGAATTAGTTTACGATATAGCAAAACGAGTGTGAAAATGTATAGATTTTTCTTAACGATATTTTGGAAAAATTACATTTTTATTAAATAATGTCAAGTTTGATCATCCGTTTATGTAATTTTTATTTTCATTGCATGATTATTCAAAAGAATAAGGTATCATTTCCTTGTTAATTGTGTGGAATAGCCAGAACAACCGCAGTGATGTGAAGTCGATGTTTATCGAAAGCATGCTGTGAAACACACAAATAGTAGATATCTAAATGTTATGCACAAATTTACTTTAAAAGAACTAGCGTGAAACTGACTTATTATTTGAGAATTTATCTAATTTATTCCAATTATAAAATTGTGATTTAGCTTTATTCGACTTGTAATACGCATTTAATTTCATCTTCCGATAAAAATGGATCGATCTTTGTAAATTTTAATTGGAGATTATTCAATATTATCAAAATCACCCTCTACCAACTTAATTTTTACATATTTCGTCTGTGTTCCCTTAATTTGATAAAATACTTCTTCCTAGTTACGACTTAGTTGCAGCTGCAGCCGAAACTAAATTTTAAGTTGGTACTTAGCCAGAAGAGTCGAAACTTAGGCGACTATGAATAACTTTAGTTGTGACCAGCGTTGCCACAGACAAATTTTTGTTCCTACCAAAATTTCCTACCATAACCAACCAAAACCTACCAAACATTTTTGAGTTTTAATATTTGTTTTCAATGTCAAATTTTTTAAAAACATAGTAAACATAAACTAGTAAAACTAAAACACAACTAGATTAATAAAAACAAATTAACTGCGTATACCGATTTATTTTACTGTACTGACTTATCCATATGTACATATGTCTCTTTACACATACATACATATCGTCACTATATACGAATAAAGACGCGAGCTCAAAAGTTGATAGCAAAAAAAGAGGCGTAAAAAAAGTTCGGCGAAGAAAGACTCTTAACATAGATGGCGGCAAATTAAGCCGCGTTAACCTCTTTGACAGCGAAGAAAGACCCATAAACTTATGTCCGCGGTCAACTATATTTTCGAGTGCAACAGTATTCCCCAGAACTCCCCTAAGAAATTTTCTTAGCTCTTTATTGTGTCTAGTGACGATATTATTATTATTACGTCGAAGATACCCGCGCTGCGACCTAAGAAGATATATTGTGCTAAATCAGAATTGTAATCACTCCAACCTTAGCTATTTAAAAAGCTCAGCACTTTGGATGAGGCCATGTTCCAAATTTTAGATGGAGAAGACAATCGTTCTCCAAGGTGTATCAATCTACAATTCATGCTTCGTGGACAGGCACATAGAATATACTCTGGGGTTTCTTTCACCAGCCGACAAACCCTACAGTCCGTCTCTACAGAAGGACTCATTTAATTAAAACCGTACGTTAACTTTCAGTGTGCTGTCAGCAAAAGTTCTAAGTTCAATGTGTCTTTTGGAGTTCCTGCTGCAAAGAGTTATACATATCTTTGATTGTCTTATTCCCTTTGACTTCCGCCAGTAGGCAGCAATTTGAGATTATTCCCAGCTAGCTCCTTAGTAGGTCTGCAGTGTATCCTTTAGATGTACCACAGAAAGGCTAGGGACTATGCAAAGGCGTTTGGGCTTCACGAATTGCGAGACAGTCAGCCCTTTTGGCGCCTTCAAATCCTTCATGTGTGACGCTATTGTTGTCTCGCAGGTGGTTCAAGAGTTTACAAGTCTTGATGCCGTTTTAAAATATATACATAATATTTATTCTGGCCTCATTTGCCTTCTAAGATGACATTCGCGAAGACAGACTTCGACTGGGAAGACTTCCGCCTGAAATATGGTTGAGTACGAGCCCATTCGCCAACTTTTCTCGAATCTTGGTCCAAGTACGCCATAAATTATATCGCTACCTAAAGGTGAAAAGGTGCCAAGTCCATTTTTTTTTTCAAAGTTTAGTTTGTGATGCAGAATGGCAGGTAATACGAAACTACATAGATTTTTCTTCTCTCCTGAACAATTTCTAAAATGGACTTCTTTTCATGCTTAGGTCACGATATATGAATGTCCGTATTGCATATTGGCAATAATAAGGTATACGTTTGTACTTAGGAATCTGGTATATTTACATGTTTGTGGCCGCCATTATACGAACGCACCGGTGAAATATTTGTTTAAAAAAGTTTGCTAAAATATTTGGGTACGTACATATTTTCTATTTTTCGCAAATTACTATTACTCATTGTCCCGAAACCTACCAAAAGCCAATCAAGCCTACCAACCTACCTACCAGTTTTGGTAGGAAAAGGCATGTTTGGCAACACTAGTTGTGACTTAGAATAGTTTCGACTTAAGGCGAAATTAGTCAACGACGTAGCGTAAACGTACGTTGACGCTGACACGATCTACCTTATGAGATTTGCGTGTTAAAGAAAACTCACCACCGCAAGACGCTGACGTTGCCGTTGCTTCTATCTCTCTCTATCAACAGTAAATTTGATATGTTGCTACGTACGCTTACGCCACGTCGTTGACTAATTTCACCTTTAGTTGAGTACTAAATATGACTATGAATATGCGCCTATCATTCTTGATTCGATACTCCATACTATTCACATCACTAATGTAAATACTATTTGACGTTTTGCGCATCAGCTGGACAATTCTTGCATTGAAGGACTATTAAAATAATAGAATATTAAAAAAACACGAAAAGGTTACAAAGTACGAATCAAGTAAAATAATGTAAGTTCTAGATTTTATCTTCATCATTTTCTTGGCATCTCTAAAATGATTCATGAAGTGCTGTTGTCCTGTCTCAACTTGCAATCGAAACGCTTGTCGTTGGAAGATTTTACAGAACCAGATGTTACTGCTTTCCTTCATCCTTGTGAGAAACATGTGCTGCAGGATATTGTAACCATCATAAATCTATTGCGGGATATAGAAAAATTTGCTAAAGTATGTGGGAGCAATAATATTTGCAATCGTATGGTATTAATATTCGATACAGATGAGCCTCTACAAAAGGGGCTTTACTTAAAAGCATTCGCAAATGGCATCGATACAGTTTTAAAGGATTATTTTGCAGAAATTACCGCCCTTGAAAAAAGCTACATACAAAATCCAACAAATTTCTCACTCCTTTACATTTATCGCAATTTGAAAAATTATGAACCATTAGCGCTTTATTTGCGCAAACTTATAAGGGTAATACGCACCCAGAAACTACATGGCTGTGAAATAATGCAGTTCTTGCATCAAAACGCTGAACATGGTGATCAGAAAATAAGGGCAGCTATTAAAACCCTTCAACTCGCAGTAAATGTAGTATTCTTCAAACAACTTACTCATTGGATACTGTATGCGAAGATAATTGATACCTACGGCGAATTTTTCATACAATGCTCAGAAGGCCATAGCAATAGTGCAGCAGAAAGTGAAACCAGCAAATGTGCCAGCACGGAAAGTGGAAAACATGCCAGCACCATAACTACGCTTTCAAAAGTGGCCAGTACCTATGCGGATATTTGGCGCTATGAAATATGCTACGAGCTACTGCCTCACTATTTGCCAACGGGTTGGGCTGAAAAGGTACTATTTATTGGACAGACTATACTCATATTTAAAGCAGACGCCAATAAACACAAGAATCTCACACAAAACTGGAATAAAACCGAACACACTGATTTGGAAGATGGCAGTTCTCTGAGCAATGAAAAGGAGCATATCTACTTTGGCAAGATACAAATGCTACAAAATGATGAAGAATTGAATGTTCAACACTATGAAAGTATTGTTAATGAAATTAAAACATATGTGACTACGCGATTATCTGAAATTGCTATCAATCAGGCTGATTTGGTGCAACAGTTGAAGCTAATGAAGGATTTCTTCCTCCTAGGACGTGGTGAGCTATTCTTGGAGTTCTTACGCCTCACATACATAATTGGCAAAGATAAATATAATGAAAATAAAGTGCATGACTTTGTAAAAGCATTTGAATCAGCAGCGCACGGTGTCGGTGTTTCTGAGGATTTGGAGCGGTTCTCTTTGAGTATCGCAAAACCGCTGATGCAAGGGGGTAGCTCCAAGGAGTTGGAACACAATTACTTGCAGTACATGCAGCTTAATTACAAAATTAATTGGCCATTACATTTGTTGTTTTCGCCAAAGGTCATCGAGAATTACAACGTACTATTTCGCTTTCTACTCTTGATTAAGAAAATTCAGTTTGAACTTCATATGTTATGGAGCAATAATGTGCGTCGCTCAAAGAGGAACACAACTCACAATAT